GATCCTCCCATGTGGCTTCCTCCGGCGGCAACTCTTCCCACTCGACCAATACTTCCCAATGGTAATGACATGCTTTCCTGACTTGGCGACAATCAATCGCCCGACTTGGTCGCACAACAACTCTTCCATCAGTTGCGGTCGCCGGTAACTCCTCGCACCACTTATGTGCTTCTCCTAAACGTCTCTTGAGTTGTGAGACATGTATGACTGGATGGATATGTGATCTCTCCGGTAGCTCTAGGAGATAAGCTATTTGGCCTATGTGCTTCAGGATCTGATAAGGCCCATTATAGTGAACCCCTAGCTTAGTTGCCACCCTCTGCGCGGTCGTGCGCTGCCTGAATGGTCGCAGCTTCAAGTAGACAAATTTGCCCGGCGTAAAACTCTCTTCTCGCCGTTTTCCATCTGCGAAAGCCTTTGTGCGGTTGATCGAGCCTTCCAGATTTTTCTTTAATTCTCGCAACATCAAATCTCTCTCCTCAAGTTCTCGACCTAACTCATCATTGATTGCGCCACCTTCTGAATAATTGATGAGCGTCGGCGGTTTGCGCCCATATACTAACTCGAATGGCGTCATCTTGGTCGAACCATGGTACATTGTGTTGTACCAGTACTCAACCCACGGTAGGAAATTCTCCCACTTCTTCGGAAATTGATGGACATAGCACCTCAAATACTGCTCAAGAGTTCGGTTAGTTACCTCAGTTTGTCCATCTATCTGTGGGTGATATGCTGGGCTCATTGATAGCTTGGTCCCTTGCAGCTTGAAAAATTCAGACCAAAAGCTACTCATAAAAATCCGATCTCGGTCGGAGATAATTGATCGTGGTGCTCCATGCAACCTCATGACATACTCAACAAATAGCTTGGCGATAGACTTCGCCGCGTAGGGATGCGTGATGGGAATGAAGTGAGCGTACTTCGTAAGTCGATCTACCACGACCATAACACCATTGAATCTATTGGAGACTGGCAGTCCTTCAATGAAGTCCACATTGATATCTTCCCAGATTGCCTCGGGTACCGGCAATGGTTGCAGCAGCCCACTTGGTCGCCTTGCGTCGGCCTTAGTGCATTGACACTCGTCGCATCATGCCACATAATCTCGGACCGTGCCTTGCTTCCCTAGCCAGAAAAAGGTGTTGGCCATTCTCATCCATGTGCGGTAGACTCCCGAGTTCTCTCCGACCTTCGAGTCGTGAAAGTGCTGCATGATCCTCTCGCGTAGCTGACCACTGTCTGGAACGAATACTCGGCCTCGATGGAGTAGAAGACCGTTGTGCTGCTCATAATCAGCGACGGCAGCGTCACCCGCCTCGATTCCTTGTCGCAGCTCCTTGAAGATAGAATTCATGGCGAACTGAAAAGTGGATGGAGCGTTGCACAGCCCAAATGGCATCACCAAATACTCACAGTGCCCCTGATGCGTACGAAAAGCCGTATTCGGGATGTCAGCTTTGTAGAGTCAGATCTGATGATAGCCAACCCTGAGATCGAGCTTCGATAAATAGCGTGATCCTCCTAACTCATCGAGCATGTCGTCGACACTGGGAACAGGAAATCGGTCTTTGATTGTCGCGGCATTTAAGGCTCGATAGTTGGTGCAGAACCTCCATGTGTCGTCCTTCTTCTTTGCTAGTAGGACTGGTGATGAGAACAGACTTGAGCTATGTTGGATGAGTCCGGACTCTAGCATCTCGCCTACCTACGTCTCGATCTCCGTCTTCTGAAAGTGTGCATACCGGTAAGGATGGACGTGCACAACATGCTGCTCATTGACCAGCGGTATGCGGTGGTCGAACTCCCGATGTGGTGGTAGACACTTCGGCTCGCCCAGTACCCCATCGAACTCCTCGAGTAACTCGTGCACCTCGCCCTGTTGCTGCTCAGCCTCGTCCGTGCGCGCACTTTTGTTCTCAACCACTACCGTAAATATTTAGCCGCCACCTCGCCAAACTCTCTCGATACTCTTCAATCCAACTTCCTTGATACCTTTTTCCTCGCCGGCTTTTAGAGTGACTCGTTGATCTCCAGATTTGAACTTCATAACCCCAGTTCGGTAATTGGTGGTCACCTCTCCTAGTCCTTCGAGCCATTGCACTCCTAGAACAACATCGGGTCCGACCAGGGGCAAGGCATAGAGATCGACCATCACAGTAACTCCTTGAAACTTGATCGGTACTCCTCGAAAAACTTCCGAGCACTTCAACCATTCTCCATTGGCTACTCGGACTTCAAACGACTCAATCTTGGTTGTCAGTAACTTCAGCTTCTGAGATAGCGTGGCGTTGATGAAGTTGTGCGACGATCCATTGTCCACGAGTATGACCACTCGACGATCCTTGACACATGCCGGTAGTCGCATCGTCCTAGGTCCTCTCGTTCCAGCCATTGCGTGTATCGAGATCTCTGCTTCTTCCTCGGGCACCTCAACTTCACCTTCACTTTCTATGTTCTCTTCATCCTCGGGCTCTTCTTCATCCGGGTTGATGATGTCGATCACGAACGCTTACTTGCATCGATGGCCCAGTGTGAACTTCTCTTCGCACTTAAAAGAAATGCCTTTCTCGCGTCGGTGCTTTATTTCCTCGAGCGACAAGCATTTGACTTTGGGTCTCGGTGGTCGCACGCTGTTGGTTGGTCGCGTGCCCGCGGTCGCATTGCTCGGGCCCGCGCTTCGCGTATCGGGATAGCGGACGTCTGCCTGTCCCCTTCGCGTGGCCGCTAGGTGGTCCTCGCAGCGTCGGGCTACCTCCATGGTTGCGTGCTTCGTTTCGGGCCGTTCTAAGTGTACTTCAGCAGCTAGATCAAATTTCAGGCCACCTATGAAAGCTCCAACTAGTGCAGTCTCGGGCCAGCCTCAGACTCAGCAGGCTAAGCGCTCGAATTCCTTCAAGTAATCGCGCAAGCTGCCTGTCTGCCTTATGTGTGTTAGTGCCTCGTCATAGTTGTGGTAGTCGGATGTGCCGAAACGCGTGAGTAACTCGCGCTCGAAGTCGTTCCACCCAATGACTCGCTGTCGGCTGCGGTAGACGCTCGTGAGCCACTGCCACCATACGTTGGCCTCACCGTCGAGATAATAAGTCGCGTACCTTACTCGATCTTGCCCTTCGGTCTCATTGAGCTCGAAATATTGCACAGCTCGGTTGAGCCATGCATAAGGATCGATGCCGGTGAAGGTGGATAGCATGAGTCGCGGTTTGTCGGGCTTCGGCCGGTCGTGGTAGTTGGATGCCTGGGACCGCCGGTCGAAGTCGTCCTCCTGCTCAAAATCCGCGCACCTCCGCTCGTGTCCCTCGGGCCGCTCGTGCTCGTGCTGGGGCGGTGGTTGGCGCACGAGCATGTTGCGTGCCATCTCATCAAAACGCCGGTTCATGGTTTCCATCAGATCTTGCACCGTCGCCTTGGTGGTATCGAGCCCCTCGCTCATGGTTCGGACTTGCATGTCGAGGTTGTCGATTTTATCCTTCATCTCCTTGTTGGCCATGGCTTTCTTCTCTTGCTTGCGTGCCTTGCTTCGTGGACTCGTTTTGAAGATGATTTTTTTTTTTTATGATATGGACGAAAAAATAAGAGGAAGGAAAGAAATGGAATGGGATGGGAAAAAGACACACGATCTAACACCTCTCAATGAAAGCACCAATGATGAAGATCGCGTGTCCCGACTGCCGATAAGCCGCAAACCATTGCCTTAAATCGCCGATAGGTGTCTAGAGGTTCACAAACCGTACCCCTCTAAACGAATAAAATTGCAATAGAAATTTAGAAGAAATCTAAGTCAAAGTGTTTGAACAAAAGTTCGAATTTTTGTTGATAAATTTGATGATGAAAAATAACATGGGGAAGGGCCTTTATATAGGCACAAAATATATCTAGTCCCAATCTACCTAGTACTCTAATAATGCAATAAAATATTAGGTATCCTAAACAAGCTAGAAATCATAAAGCAATAAGGTAACTAAATAACTAGGGATCATGTGTCTTGACTTGCACTCCAAGTAGAAGCTCCAACCGCCTCTCTCTCTCTCCTCGGCTCCCACCGCCCTAGTCCTCGAGGACTAGGGTCGCGCCGCCTTCGGCGCGTGCTCGGCACCCGGCGTGCCACGCACGCCTTCACTGCGCGCGTTGCTGCCCGCCTGTCCGCATGCCTCGAGGCATAAGGCCTAGCAGGCTTGGAGCGCACGTGCTTCCCCACTGTGCGACTTCCTCGCGCCTGCGCCTGGCGCCAGTTCGCTTGTCTCGCGTGCTAGTCGTGCGCAATTGCTCTCGTCCGTTTGTTGGCTATTCTCTCGTACTTCGAGCCCTACCTGCTCAAGGGCGTGCGCCTCACCCGCCTCTCGTGCTAGCTTCCTTCGTGCGTGATAGGCGCGACTTGCGGCGTTTTTGAATTGCCTAGCCACCTTCGCATCATATTGGCCATCCTGACCAATTTTGATTCCGACGGTCACAGTGACGAATCTGAACCTTCGTACATTCTCTCGCACGCGCTGGGCACGTGTATAAGAAAAAGGCACTATCATGTCTTCAGCTATTCCAGTGATTATATGATTTATTACTCGCTTTCCTTTCTTTCATTTCTTCTCCCTCCCTTCTCCATTTTTTCTTTCTAAATAAATATGCTATTATATAATTTTATTTGTTATCTCACTGCAATTTCCCTTCGTACAGTGAATTTCGCCATCTCTGCATATCTCTTTTTTCCGTAGTGTTCAGCTATAGGCAATTTGTCAAAAGTTTCTGTTTCATTAATTTTAACCCAAAAAATTCAATTACCCGGCAGAGATGCCGGCCGCCGGCGATGAGTGTGGCTGCGCAGAGATGGCCAATTACTTTTCCGACGGTGTTTCCTAGAGCGAAACTTAATTTTCCCACATCAGCAAAACACTTGTCACCCCGAAAACTGCGAATCAAACCCTCACGCAGCTCGCACTCGCCACCTCGAAAAGAGCGTCTTCTTCTTCTTCTTCTTCTTCTTCTTCTTTTTCTTCTTCTTCTCATCAATGTCTAACGCAAACTCACCTCCGACCAACGCTTCCCCGGAACCGGCGGCGGCCGGCGCCCTGAGCAAACGGTACGAAGGTCTGGTGGCTCTCCGTACGAAGGCGGTGAAGGGGAAAGGTGCCTGGTACTGGGCACACTTTGAGCCCATTCTGATCAAGAACCCGGAGACCGATTTTCCGACGGCTGTGAAGCTCAGGTGCACCCTCTGTGGTGCCGCATTCTCCGCGTCAAACCCCTCGAGGACCGCCTCAGAGCATCTCAAGAGAGGGTCCTGCCCTAATTTCAGCTTCATGATGAAGCCAATTTCTCAGCTGCCGCCTTTGGCCTCGCCGTCTTCACACCGCAAACGGAGCTTGGAATCCCAACAAGCTGCAGGTATACCAAAATATTTTATTTTTTCTATGGAAATTTTTATTTTAGTGTGGAGATTCTCCATAAATTATTCTAGATAATTTCCAAAAAAAAAGAAAAGAAAAATCAAATAGCGTAATTTACTTGAACGGAAAAAAATAATAATTGCATCAATTGCTTTGTTGATGAAGAAGTTCCAAAGAATTTATCACAAATATTGTTTATAAAACCTACCAGTGGATTATTCAGGAATTTTTTATTTTTCTTGGGTTACTATGATAGGTACTTCTTTAGATGTAAATCCTATCAACGTTATTTATTCATCAAGAACCAGCCATGAAATGGCCTTTTCGCCGGCCCAGAGTGGACAGCCCCAGAAATCGAGCCCGAAGCCGCCGGTCTTGTCTGGCGGCCGAGAAGATTTAAGGCCTCTGGCCCAATTGGAAGACAGTGTCAAGAAGCTCAAGATCCCGAAAACTCTATCTGTTCCGACTCTAAGCAAAGTCCAAGTCGATAAAGCTTTCGACCTTTTGGCCGATTGGTTTTACGAGTCATGCGGCTCTTTCACATTCTCGAGTGTTGAGCATCCAAAGTTCAATGCTTTTCTTAACCAAGTGGGCTTGCCCGGGTTCTTGAAAAGAGAATTCTTGTGCACAAGGCTCGACTCCAAGTATGGTGAAGTGAGTAGAGAGTCAGAAGCCAGAATTAATGATGCAGCCTTTTTCCAAATCTCCTCTGATGGGTGGAGAAGTAATAATTCAAAAAATGGAGATAAATTTCTGGTTAATTTTAGTGTGAACCTTCCGAATGGGACACGGGTGTTCCAGAAGGCGTTGTGTCTGAATAAGGGCACTTTGCCATCACAGTATGTGAAGGAGGTTATGTGGGAAGCTGTTCAGAGTATATGCGGCAATAATGTACAGAGATGTGTAGGAATTGTTTCTGATAAGCATAGACAAAAGGCTTTAAAAAATTTAGAGCTTGAGAATAATTGGATGGTCAACGTGCCTTGCCAGATTCAGGGATTCCTTAGTTTGATCAATGACCTCATTACAGAACTCCCGCTTTTTAGTTCTGTAAAACAAAATTGTCTGAAAATCGCAAACCTGATTAACCACCACCCACAGGTCCAAAAATGCATCCCCAGCTTCAGGTCCCAAGCGTTTGAGTGTGCAAGTTTTATTCGAGTATTTTCCTCTAAATGTGTCGTCTCGAAAAATTTCAGCCCGTTTATGGTGATGCTTGAGGACATACTGACTTGTTCCCAGATTCTGCATCTTCTCGTGTCTGATAAATCATATAAAGCCCTCTGTTTAGAGCACATTTTGGCCAGGGAAGTTGCTGACATCATTCAAGATGTGGGGTTTTGGAAAAATGCAGAGGCCGCTCGTTTGCTTGTGATACAAGTAATGTCGATGGTTAAAGAGATGGAGACAGAAAGGCCGTTGATCAGCCGCTGCCTTCCCCTTTGGAACGAGCTTAGGGCCAAAATAAAAGAATGGTGCGCCAAACACGGCTTTACTGAGGGTCCCATTGAGCATATAATCGAGGCCCGGTTCCAGAAAAACTACCACCCGGCATGGCCAGCTTCCTTCATTCTCGACCCGCTAAATTTAGTGAAAGACGGAAATGGAAAATATCTCCCGCCATTTAATATACTCACGAGCGTGCAAGAAGAGGATGTTGAGAAGCTCGTGATCCGGTTGGTCCCCAAAGAGGAAGCTGACGTGGCCTTAATGGAGCTCGTGAAGTGGAGGTCAGAAGGTCTGGAACCGTTGTATGCTCAGGCGGTTCAAGTCCGGCAACTAGATAATTTGACAGGAAAACTAAAGATAGCAAACCCTCAGAGTAGTCGGCTCGTGTGGGAGACTTGCTGCTTGAAGGAGTTCAAGTCACTTAGTAAAGTAGCAGTGAGGCTTCTTTTTCTACATGGGACCGCGTTTGGGTTCAAGTGCGGCCAGGCCTCCATGGGGTGGTTTTGTGGGCCGGGGGCGGGACTTGAGAGGGCCCAGAAGATGGCTTACGTGGCGGCCCAGGCAAGGCTGGGGAAGAGCAATCTTTTGGGTGGTGAGGAGATTGAGCTTTGTGAGGAGGATTGTGGTTTTTGTGCATAAGCCAACATTCATTTTTTTTTT